GGGTCTTTGGTGGTTCCATGTGAATTTCTAGCCATGTATCGCTAGCATTCCATAAAACGTTTGCTTCATACTTTATGTCCAGAATTAGGGGTGCATTGGGACATTGTGATACTTGTTTGTATGCCTTGAATATGGATAAAATCAGGGAGTTTCCCATGCCTCTGAGCATGTATAGGTTTAATATCTTCGATGTGTGAACATTCAGTATCCTCCTTGGTAGCTCTTTTGAAAACGGCACGACCATGTTGTTAAGTCTTGTCACCCTGCTTTGGACTGGAATACCAGAATGTATTCCTCTCCTGTAACTCTCTGTGTACCTATTGCCAATCCTTGATGTCCTCTCCTCCACCTAGTCTGTGGTGACCACTGCTGTATTTTCACCTTCAGTGAGTTAAATTTTTCAGCTCCCACATGAGTGAGGAACATGCAGGCTTGGTCTTTGCCTTTCTGATTTGATTGAACAGAATATCTCCAGGTGCAGCCATGTTGCTGGAAATGATAAGATTCCAGGAATTTCGATGGCCCAAAAGTATTCCATTGTGTCTGTGTACTAGAGATTCTTCATCCGTTCATTTGTGGATGGACAGGGAGGTTGATTGCTTGTCTTGGCTTTTGTGCATAGGGCTGAATTCCACCTGGGATGACAGATCATCTCTTCCATGTCCTGATCATGTGCTCTGTGTATATACCTAGTAATAGAATTACTAGATAAAACGGTAGTTGTAGTTTTACGATTTCAAGGAACATCCAAGTGGTTTCTTTAGCGTGCATACTAGTTTACCATATCCCACCAGCTGTGGAGACAAGTTCCTCCTCTGAGAAGATTCTCACCATTGCTGACGCACACAAAAGTGTAAGTGAAAATCACACCAGATTTCATCTCACTCTGGTTAGAATGAATACTACCAACATTTGATGGCAGTTTGTTTCTATAGAGTATACATTATACCCCCCCACACACACAACCCAAGGTGCAAGGGACATTTTGAGATATCTATATGTAGCATTATGATGAAATCATTGTATCTGGCATGTCTGTGATCTTCCATCATTATTTTATCTCTGTGGAGAGAATATTCAGAACCGTATTTTCCAGCTAATTTTGAAAAATTTTTCTAGATTCTGTTGACCCTAGTCACCTAGTCAGCCTGCTGTGCAATAGAACACCAGAATGGATTCCTTGTATCTGAGCGTCACTCTGTACCCGTTACCAGTCCCTACCCAGGCTCTCTGCTCTCCCCAGCCTCTAGTAACCCCTACTGGAAGTTCTGCTTTTAAGAGACAATGTTTTCTGGATTCTATGTAGCTGATGTCATGCAGCGTGGGTCTCTCCCTGGCAGACTCATTTCACCTAATTGTCTTCCGGGTTTCTCCAAGTGGTTGCAGATGACATGATTTCCTGAAGTGTTACAGCTGACATGTGTTTCCTTGTGTATGTCAACTGTGGTTCTTTTATCCCTTCATCTGTGCATAGACAGGTAGGTTAATTCCACATCTTGGCTATTGTGACTAGGGCTTCAGGACACATAAAAAGGCAGAGAACACAGGGATTTCATTTTCTCTAAACGTGTACCCAGTGGTGGGATTGTTATTGGAGTGGCAGTTGTACTTTTACCTTTTGTTGTTTGTTTTTTTTTAAAAAAAAAAAAAAAGACAGAGTCTTGCTCTTGTCGCCCAGGCTGGAGTGCAGTGGCGCAATTTCGGCTCAATGCAAGCTCCGCTTCCTGCGTTCAAGCGATTCTCCCGCCTGCCTCAGCCTCCCAAGTGGCTGGGAATCCAGGCACCTGCCACCACGCCTAATTTTTGTATTTGTAGTAGAGACAGGATTTCACCACGTTGGTGAGGCTGGTCTTGAACTCCTGACCTCAGGTGATCCACCTGTCTCGGACTCCCAAAGTGCTGAGATTACAGGTGTGAGCCACTGTGCCCGGCCTACCTTTTACTTTTTTAAGGAACTTCCAAAAGTTTTTGTAGTGTGTACATAATTTTCATTCCACGAAGTGTGTGAAAGATATTTTTTCCCCTGCAAGTCTATGCTGACTATTACCTTCAACAATTTTGATTTTTGTCTTTTGTAATACTCATTCTAGGTAGAATTAGATGGTAACCGAGTATGGTTTTGATTCATGTTTTTGTGAGGATTAGTGATATTGAGGAACTATCACCTGTGAGTCCATTTCCTGCCATCTTTTCACTCAGGTCTATTTAGATCCTTTTACTTGAATATTTGTTGTTTTTATTGTTGTTGTTTTTCACTTAGTCATATCACTTTATTGTATGTGTTAGATAACAACCTCTTTCAGGGTTAGGTTTTTTTATTGTTTCTCCCAGTCTTTAGTATTCCTTTTTTTTGTTTCATTGTTTCCTTTTCCGTGTAGAATTTGTAAAGTGTCCCTAGTTGCATATGGTTATAGGTGCATATGTTAGCAGTGACTTTTGTGTTCAACACCCCGCTTCCATGATAGCAGAAAAACATGCGTGCGCGCGCACGCACACACACAGAGCCAAGCCTTGCATTGTCTGTGGGTATAGTTTCCCTACCTATTTTTTAGTGTTATGATGCTTTCTTACCTTTTGCAGCCTGTTTGCATAGATCAAGGGTTTCCTAAAATATACATCCACTGTCTTTTCTTATAGGACCTTTACAGTTTCAAGATTGAGTTTAGGTCTTCATTTTGTGTTGATTTTGTGTATCGTGCATTGTAAGGGTCCTATTTCAGTGTTTTTCCTGTGGATATTCAGTTTTCTCAAAATCGATAATTGAACCAGACTCTCCCTTTCCCATTATATCTTTTTGGGGTTTTGAAAAATGTGTTCCCTACACATGTTGGATAGAGTATTTGGCTGCCTCATTGTGTCACTTAGGTCCTCGTTCTGTGTTTGTGACAGTCATGAATTGTTTAGATAACTACAGATTGTTTTTTGATTGATTATTTTCTTTGGTTCTTACCTTGGATTTTTCTTTTAATGCTTTCTACTCTTATTATTACAGTTTAAAAGCTATATTTGCAAGTTAGTTATATCTGTTGATTGCATGACACTGAGACTTGGGGTCCCAACAACCCCGTAACCCAGGCAGTGAGCAGAGGGCCCACAGGGTGGGTCTTCAGCACACGCTCCCTCTCCCCTGTGTTTTTATTGGTCTGTGGTCATTCCCGGTGTCTGTTGTTCTCTTCTTTATGTTTGAGTGCATTCAAAGTTTAATTCCTGCTTATAAGTGAGAACATGTAGCATTTGGTTTTCTATTTGGACCTTAGTTCACTTCTGACACTGGCCTGCAGTTTCCACCTTCTGTTGTCAGGTGATCCTCCCTGATAGGTCTACAGGTGCCCACCACCACATCCGGCTAATTTTTTTATTATTGTAGAGATGGGATCTCACCATTTTGCCCAGGCTGGTCTCAAATTCTGGACTGAAGTGATCCACCTGCCTTGGCCTCCCAAAGTGCTAGAATTACAGATGTGAGCCACTGTGCCGGCCTCTCATGCACTGTTGATGGGTAGGTTGATTCCATGTCTTTGACATTGTGAATAATACTGCTATGAACATAACGAGTGCCTGTGTCTTTTGGATAGGAGGATTGATTTTCCTTTGGGTAGATGCACAGGAGAGGGCTTTCTGAGTGAGATGGTAGTTCTGTTTTCAGCTCTTTGAGAAATCCCCAATCTGCTTTCAATGGTGTCTGTACTAGTTTTAATCCCCTCCCCTCCCCAAAAGCGTACCAGCGTTTCGTTTCCTCGGCTGCCTCGCCAGCATGTGTTCCTTGTCTGCGTGGTCCTCACCATTGTGACCTCCATGGGATTACAACGTCTTGTAATGTTTTTGATTGGCAGCTCTCTGATAGTGAGTTTGAGCATGTTTTCCTATATGTTGGTTGCTTGTACATTGTCTTTTAAGACGTGTGTGTTCACGTCTCTTGCCTGTTTACTAATAGGATATTCCCTAGTTGACTTGTTGAAGGGCCTTGTAGATTCTGCATATTAGATGTTGTGCAGATGCACAGTTTGGGACCGTGTTCTCCCTTTGTGTACACTGTTAACTCTGTTGGTAGTTTCTTTTACTGTGCAGCAGCTCTTTCAGGTATTCGGTCTGACTTGTCAATTTCTGTTTTTGTTGCCGTTACTCTTCAGGACTTAGCCTGATGGCTATGTGGAGAAGGATATTTCACAAGTTTTCTCATAAGATTTTAATAGTTTGAGTTTTTCCATTGAAATCTTTCATTCATCTTGAGTTCCTCTTTGTGTCTGGTGAGAGGTAGGGGCCTAGTGTTACTCTTCTGCACATGGCTGGCCACTTATTTCAGCACCGTTGATTGAATAGGATGTCCTTTTGCCTTTGCTTACTTTGGTGGATTCTGTGTTAGATCAGATAATTTTCAGTGTGTGGGTTTACTTCTTGGTCCTCCCTTGTGTTCCACTGCTCTGTGTGGAGGCCGGTCCCTAGCTTTTCCATGAAATTTGAAATCAGGAAGTGTGATGTGTCCGATGTAGTCTGGATGTCTCAGGATTGCAGAGGATGAAACTCAGGGTGCTTCATGGTCCCACATGAATATTAGCATCACCTATTTCTATTTCTTGCAACAGATGTGTTGCATAGTAAACGTACAATACAATGGGAGGGTAGAGTGGGGCATTATGGTCCATGCATACATTGTGAAATGATGAAATCAGGGTACTTAGTGTTTCTGATACCTTTTCCCATTGTTTATTCCTCTATGGTGAGACCCTTTCAGTATTCTCCTGTCAAGCTGCTTTGAAAGTGATGTGCCTTTGCTGTTAACCCTGGTCACCCTGCGCTGGAATAGAACAACAGAATTTTCTTCCTCTCATTTCCCATTTACAATCCCTGCCCATTACTCCTCTTTTCCCCCAATCTGTGCAAACCCATATTGTGCTCGCCAGGTCTTTGAGATAGAGTTTCTCAGATTCTGCATGTGTGAGATGACTCAAGATTTGTTTCTTTCCCCTCTTGTTCATTTAATTTACCATCATGTTTTCCAGGTGCAACCCTGTGGTTCCCCACGATAGGATTTCATTGTGGTTTTCTGTCTGAAGAGTATCCCGGTGTGTACATGTGGAGCAGCTTCTTTATCCCTTCTTCTGTGGACAAGCAGGTAGGTTGATGCTTACACTGGCTCTTGGGAACAGTGCTGGAATCCACATGGGTGCGTAGATCTATGTTTGGTGTCCTGATTTCAATGACTTTGAGTGTATTCCTAGTAGTAGAATTGCTGGTTGAAATGGTAGCTGGAGTCTTTTAAGGTTTGGAGGAACCTCCAAGTGGTTTCTGTAGTGCATGTGCTAGTTTACCTTCTCACGAACTGTGAAAGACTGTCTCTCTCTCTCTCTCAAAACACACCAGCGTTTCCCTTTCTTTCAATGTTTTTTTTTTCCTTTTTATGTTAATACTCATTCCAATTAGAATGAGATGGTATCTAAGTGTGGTTTTGATTTACATTTTGCTTGTGGTTAGTGATGTTTGCCAAGTTATTGTGAACTTGTTTCAATTTGACATGTAAGACTGGGCAGTGGATCTGAAGACCTGAGATGGATGCACAGGTAAAAGTTTCTGACTCAACATTAATGATCCTCACGAGAAGTCAATCAGAACCACACTCAGATAGCATCTCTCTCTCTGGTGAGAATGAATGTTACCAAAATGGGACAGCAGTTTCATTGTCGTATAGTCTGTATGTATAACCAGCAAGTGCAAGGCACAGTTTGACCTGTGTAAACATAGCATCATCATGAAGTCGCGGTGTCTGGCATCTCTGTGAACTCCAGACTTATGATTTCTCTATGGAGAGAATATTCACAACTGACCTTTGTAGCTGTTTTGAAAATTGTGGTTTTCTGTTCTTGCCTTTTGGCATAATGGCCTACGGCTCTGTCCAGGTTTCTGGTAAGGGCATGGATTTGTTTTTATGGCTGTGTAGTGTTCCGTGGTGTGTATGTACCACATTTCCTTTCTCTGATCCACTGCTGATGGGCACTGAGGCTGATTCCATGTCTTCACCATTGTGAGTAGTACTGCCGTGAACATGCGAGTGCATGTGTGTTTTGGATGGAAGCATTTTCCTTTGGGTAGATAGATCCTTAGGAGTGGGATTCCAGCGCTGGGTGGTAGTTCTCTTTTAAGTTCTTTGAGAACTGTCCACACTGCTCTCCAGGTGTCTGAACTAGTTTGCATTTCCCCCAACAGTGAACCTGCATTTCTTTGCTCATCTGCCCCACCAGCCTCTGTTGTTGTGGACTGTGTATCATAATTGCCATTCTGACCAGTGTGAGATGGTATCTCAGTATGTTTCTGATTTGCATTTCTCTGATAGTCAGTGAGATCGAGCATGTTTTCATTCTCATTGGTTACTGGTACACCTTCTTTTAAGTGTGTGTTCATGTCCCTTGCCCATTTACAAGTTGGGTTGGGTTTTTTTTTTGTTGTTGTTTAAGCTCTTTACATAAATCCTGGATATTAGACGTTTTTCAGATGCATAGTTGGGGAATATGTTCCCTCATTCTATAGGCTGTGTGTTAACTCTGTTGGTGCAGCAGCTCTTTTGTGTATTAGGTCCCACTTATCAGGAATTGTATTTGTTCTCATTGCTTTTGGCGACTTGAGATATAAATGCTTTGCCAAAACCTCTGTCGAGAAGAGTATTTGCTAGATTCTCGTGCAGGATTTTTTTATAGTTTCAGGTCTTGGATTTTTATGTATTTTTGTATTTATTTAAAGACCGAGTCTTGCTGTGTCAAAGAGGCTGGAATGCAATGGAACGATCTTGGCTCACTGCACCCTCCACCTTCGGGGTTCAAGTGATTCTTGTACATCAGTCTCCCGAGTAGCTGGGAGTACAGGTACGTGCCACCATACCCAGCTAAGTTTTGCTTTTTAAGTAGACAGGGTTTCACCATATCAGCCAGGGTGGTCTCGAACTTCCCGACCTCAAGTCATCCTCCTGCTTTGGCCTCCCAGAGTGCTTGGATTCCAGGCATGAGCCACCACCACACCCAGCCCAGGATTTTGCATTTCAATCTTTGATTCAAGTTGAGTTGCTTTCTGTACATGGTGAGACACAGGCCCAGTGTTACTTCTTCTGCATCTAGGTAGCCGCTGATCCCAACACCACTTAGTAGTAGGGAGTCCTTTCTCCATTGCTTATTTTTGTTGTTGTTTTTTCAAGTATCAGATGATTTCAGGTGTGCAGGTTTGTATCTGGGTCTTCTAATCTGTTCCACTGTTCTGTGTAAGCGGGTGCCCAGCTTTTTAGTGAAAATGCCTAGCCATTACATTGTGAGTGTTTTCTTAGAGTATTTCCTTTGTTTTAATTTTTTAAAAATACCTTTAACAGCCTACGTGCACGTATTACTTTTCGAAAATACATGCGCACCGTATGTTTTCTTGTAGTAGTTTTGTGGTGTCAGATTTGAGTTTTAGGCCTTTAACATATTTTGCATTGATTTTTGTGTTGCATGACATAACGGTCCTATTTCAGTGTTTTGCTTGTGAATATTCAGTCTACTCAGAATCATCTATTGAACAGGCGGCCTTTTGCCCGTTGTGTCTTTTTGGTGTTCTTTTGAAAAATGTGTTCACTATATGTAACTGGGGTTAAGTATTTGATTTACTCATTCTGTCCACTTTCTTAGTTTATGCCAGTAAATGATTGTTTGGATAATTATAAAAGTTTGTGTTTTTCATTCATTGTTGTAGCTTCTCAGTTTGTATTTGTTAACTAATTTCTACATTTATTATAGACTAAAAGGTACAAGCGCAGATTAGTTACTGCCTTTGGTATTTTGCAGGACATTGAGACTGGGATCCCAGAGACCTTATCACACAGGGAGTGGGTGGACCCACTGGCTAGGTCTTTAGCCCATACCTCGTCCCTTCTTCCTTTTTCATCTGATAAGTCATCAGTGTCTGTTGTTCTCACTTTTACGGTAGGGTGTATTCAATGTTAGCTCCACCTTAGAAGTGAGAATATGTGGCATTTGGTGTTCTGTTTTTTCCTTCTTTGCCTTTAGATAATGGCCTCCAGCTCTTTTCATGTAGCTGCCAAGGACATGATTTTCTCGTTTTTTTTTATGGCTGCCTAGTTTTTTGTGGTATATATGTACCAAATTTTCCTTTTCTGATCCACTGTTGATGGGTGCCTAGGTTGATTTCGCATATTTGCCATTGTAAATAGTGCCGCCAAGACCATTTGTGTGCATGTGTGTTTTGGACAGAAGGATTTATTTTCCTTTGTGTATATCCCAGTGGTGGGCTTGTTGTGTCAGATGGTAGTTCTGGTTTAAGTTCTTTGAGCAGTGTCCGAAGTGCTTTCTGTGGTGTCTGAACTACTTTGCATTTGCACCAAAAGTGGACCAGTGTCCCTCTTCTCTGCTGCCTCACTAGTGTCCTTTTTTTTTTCTTGACTGTGTAATCGCCATTCTGACCAGCGTGCGATATGTCTCATTGTGCTTTTGATTGATATTTCTCTGACAGTTAGGTTCAGCATATTTTCAAATTTTTGGTTGCTTTTATATCATCTTTCAAGAAGTGTGTGCTTATATCCATTGCCTATTAATTATTTGGCGGGGGAGTTGGCTAATTGATTTGTGTAAGGTCTTTAAGGTAGATTCTGGACATTAGAACCTTGGTGAGGTGCATAGTTTGGGAACATTTTCTCTCATTCTGTATGTCGTCTGTCTACTCCGTTGGTAATTTCTTGTGTTGTGTGGTGGCTCTTTAGTGTATTAGGTGCCACATGTCGATTATTGCTTTTGTTGCAGTGTCATGTGGGGTTTTAAGCATATAAATGCTTTGTCAAAGCTGATGTTGAAGGGTATTTCCTAGGGTCTCTTGTAGGCTTTCTGTACTTTGAAGTCTTCCATTTACATCCTTCGTTCATCTGAGTGAACTTTGGTACATGGTGAGAAGTAGAGGCCTAGTGTTACTTACTCTTCTGCATATGCTTCGCCATTTATCCCCAAGAGTATTGAAAAGAGAGTTATTTCCCCATTACTTAATCATTGTGTATTTCATCCAGAATCAGGTGGTATGAGGTATGTGGGTTTACTTCAGGTTCTGTGTTCTCTTCCACTCGTCCATGTGGAAGCAGGTCCCCAGAGTTTGAGTGAAATTTCAAATCAGAGAGTGTGATGCATCCAATGTAATTTGGATTTCTCAGAACTGCTTTGGAAATACGGGGCATTTCCTGGTCTCACGTGAACTTCAGCATTGTTTCTTTCTATGTCCTTAAAAACAATTTGTCCCATAGTAAAAGTATACAATTAAAGAGTAGAGTGGGACATTTTAATCCATGCATATATACCTTGTGTAATGATCAAAGGAAGGCATTGACTGTCTCTGTTACATTGTGTAGTTATTATTTATTAGTTCTCTGTGGTTGCAATATTCAGAGTCCTTCTTTTCAGCCTTTTTTGGAAAATGTGGTGGGATACTGTTAAGTCTAGACACCCTGCTGTGGAGTAGAACAGCTGAATTTATTCCTGTCATCTGAGTGTAACATTGTATCCATTTCCCAGTTCCTGCCCCTGCTCCCCCACCACCAGCCTCTCTTCACCACTGTGGAACTTTCTATGTCTAGGAGATAAAGTCATTTAGAGAGAAAGTTGATGTCATTCTCACGTGCATAAAATCATGCCGTGTTTGCGTTTCTCTTCCTGGCTCATTTCGTTGAAGGTCATGTCCTCCAATTTCTGCACGTTGCTGCAGATGACATGGTTTCATGAATTTCTGTGGCCGAAGAGGATTCCTTTGTGTACTGTAGTTTCTTTTTCCTTTTGTGCATGAACAGGTACGTTGATTGGATACGTTCCCTATTGTGAATAGTGCTTCTGTTGCCATAGGAAGGCCGATACCTCTTCAACATAACAGATTCCATGTGCTTTCTGTGTATAACTGGCGGTGGGATTGTAATGTCAAATGTTTAAGGCACCTTCAACTGCTTTGCTTCATGTGTATAATAATGTACATTCCCACCAAAAGTGTATAAAAGTGTCTTTTTCTGCATTTCTACGTTGGCCACTGCCTGTGTACATATGGGTTGTTTTTTTGTGTTTGTTTTGGTAAGTTTCATTCTAATTAAAGTGAGAGGTATCTGCGTGTGATTTGTACTTAGACATTTGTGAGAATTAGTGAAGTTGAACAACTTCTCTTTGACCTGTCAATTTCATGTTTTTCTTTCAAATGTCCTTGTTCAGTGTTCAGGTTCCTTGTCCAGTTTTAGCTTGGGTATTAGGTTTTGTTCATTTTCCCAGTTAGAGTAGTGTTAGTTTCTCGTACATGTCAGATAACAACCCCATTCACAGATATGATTCTGATGAACTTTCTTTCAGTCTGTATGATGCTTTCTTTAATAGTTCATTGTTTCTCTTCCCCATGTGGAAGCTCTAAAATGATGTATAGTCCCATGTGTTTGTATTCACATTTGTTAGCAGTGATTTTAGTGTCCCATCCAAAAAGAACAACAAATAAGAAAAAGTATTGCCAAATCAATTGCACAGTCTAAGGGTTTCTTGCCATGGATAATTTTTGCTCTTGTTTTCTTTCTTTTTTGCAAACTGCGTGCAGAGATACAAGTTTTGCTGAGATACAGACTCCCACTTTTCTTATAGGAGCTTTGCGGCTCCAGGATTGGGTTTAGGTGTTTATTTGGTGTTGATTTAGAGTTATGATATTGCAGACCCTGAAATGTTGACGACTTTGTCTTGTTTTTGTCTGATACAGCACAAAGGGAGTTGTGTTCAAATTAAGCTGTGGGAAATCCTTTAGATACTGGGTTCAAACGATTGTCTCCTTCCTTGATGTCCACTTAGGGGAGAAGTGTCAGAAAGTCTGGGAAGATCCATAGTGGAAAACGTTTATCTGTATTTCGTGGAGACTGATGGCCAGCTCCCACCTGCCCAGGACTTCTGGAGAAGGTCAGCCCTACCAATTGCTGAAATACCTCCCATCTCCAGCTCTTCAGTAAATATTTAAGTGATTCATTAGAGATTTAAACCTTAAGAAAGTAAAGTAACCCAGTGGAACTTGAATTTAACTAGAATTTAAGTTTGAGAGTAGCTGGTCAGTAGAACAAGTGTGGTAGATTGGGTGACATACTATGGTTTTTAAGGGTTTTTGTTTTTTTTGTTTGTTTTCCTTAAACAGAGTTAACAATAATCAATTTGAATAAAGAAGGAAAACATTAAAACGGTTGGTATGTGTAACATGAACACTGTTCCATGACTTGTTCAGTCATAGCCTCAATTTGACATGCTAGACTATGAATCCTAAAGACTGGTATACGGTTACTGCACTGGAGTTACTTTTCTCATTCCAACAACTGTAGAACATTTTGAATAGCATTTTAAAATTTTATTCTAATGAAAGCTTAGAAAAAAAACCCTTACTTATACACTAAAGAAAGTAAACATAAAATGGTCTCCCGCCTGACTCGCAAAAGACCCATGGCCTGATCCTGGCCAGCAGGAGCAGCTTGTGTTAAGGAGCAGGGGCCAGATGCAGCTGAGCTGCCAGCCTCCTAGATGTGGTTTCCTGGTGTCACGGTCTGGGTGAAGGATGGTGCAGAGCCGGTGTTCTGGCCAACATCCCGGTGGGGTCCCAGCCACTGCAGGATGTTGCTGGCCTACTGGGATTTGGGCTCCAGCTGGCAGGACAGCTTGTAGCTGCAGGACAGAGAGGTAGCTGTGAGGCCACCATGAGCCACACATCAGGTCCCCTCTCAGTGCATGCGCAGGTGAAATCCTGGGTCCCCAGCGGTCCCCATGCAACATGGCTTGATGCTGGCCGTGGAGTCATGGCCATAGGCTCTCTGTAGCTGGCCACAGGAGAGCCTCGTCTAGGCCACGTGGGGTGGCTGACACCTGTAATGTCAGTACTTTGGGAGACTGTGTGGGGTGGATTGCTTGAGGCCAGGACTTAGACCAGCCTGGACAACATCATGAAACCCCATCTGTACCAGAACAACAACAGCAGAACAACAGGACATGGTGTCTGTACCTGCTGTACCATATCCTGGGACATGGTGTACAGCGGTAGTCCCAGCTGCTTGGGAGGCTGACAAAGGTCTTGAGCCCAGGAGGCAGACGTTGCAGTGGGCAGAGATGGCGACACTGCTGTGCAGCCTGGGCGCAGAGCTAGACCATGTTAAAAAAAAATGGAGAGCCTTCTCCCACCCTCTGCCCGTCCACTAGGCCCTCACCTCTCCTTGTCACTGAGCTGCTCCATTCTTTTGAAATAGGTGACAAATTTCTCAAGAGGCTGAAACCTGTAATTCATGGCAGCCACTTGGAGCAGCTGCATTTCCTGCAGAACTCGGACCTCCTAGAGACAGAGGGTAGGATGCTGACAGGGCCTGGGTGGAAGATGCTGAGGGGACCTTTGGTAAGCAGGGAGAAGGGGCTGATCCCTGGGGCAGTTTTCTGCAGGGGCCCCATGCAGCCCCCAGCCTGTTCTCAGAGTTGGATGTAAACATCCCGTCCTGCAGGAATTGGTCTTTGATCCAGTGCATTTCCCACTCTCTCCACTGGGATAGATTTCCTCTTCCTGTGTGTGTCAACCCCTCCCAGTAAACCTAAGATGTAGAGGATGGAGCCAGGGAGTGTCCTGCCCAGGGTGGACTGTGAGGTCCACATCCACACCCTCCTCCAATGTTAGCGTCCCAGCTGCTCACCTTCCTCTTCTTGTTGATGTTGCCCTGGAAGGCAGACAGAATCCATCACAAAGGTCAATGGCCCACAACCAGCCCCACTCCACCCCTTCCCATGCTGTACTACTGCCAGGGACACCAGGGTCAGGGGATGTGCACGTGACAGGACTTGGATCTGCCTCAGACTCTGGGCTCTAGAGCAGGGGGCATGGGAGCTGAGGCTCAGGGACACTCTGCCCCACCTTTTTCTGAAGACAGACAGGGAAACTGAGGTCTCTTATAGAAAGAAAGCACACAGTGACCCTGGAACTGCCTGCCCTTGGAGAGGCTCAATTTCCCTCTCCAATTACGGGACTATCCTGGGGAGTCACTGAGTCCAGCTCAGCCCACACCTGAGCAGCTTTCCAGTCAGGCAGCTCTGCAGCTTCACCACTCAGGGATAGGGACTGGTGGCTGCCATGGAGCCTCCATCATGCAGAGGTGATGAGATGGGCCTGACACCCCCACCCACAGGAGCAGCTGTGAGGCTCTCAGGAGAGGAGGTTTGCTTAGGGCTGAGATCTAAGGGCTCGGTCCACGACCCTCTCCTCCCAAGCCTCAGGATCCTGGTTCCCAACCAACCTGCCCCAGGCTCACTCACATCCAGATCGTCCGGGATGGCGGAATCCAACCTCTGTAACACAGTCAGAAAATCTCCCAGGAAGGGGACTACACCCTGTGCCAAGGAGGGTTGGGGAGGTGGTGATGAGTATGGGCCATCAGATGGCTGCCCACTGTCCTGTCCCATGAAATCCCATCAGCCCCTGTCTCCCAGAACCCCCCTCCCTAGGTCTCCCAGATGGAGCAGCCATAGACCCTCAGCTGCCTTTCCCTATTCTCTGCCTCCTCTATCCCAGATGACCTCCAAGTCTAGTTGATCTCCAAGCAGTCCTAGTTACCTCTGTGGTGGGATATTAACAAGTCACAAGGACCTGTGGTCCCAACCTTACCCTTCCCCACATCCACTCTGAGTCCAGCTTTCCCAGACCCTTGTTCTGGTCTCTCAAATAGAGGTTTTCCAGGCCCAGTGGCCACAAGAGGACAGGGCTGGGGAGGAAGCACCTGCTGTCTCGATATGGAGGCCTCTAGCTGGCGGGGAAAGGAACCCTGTCCTGTGATCTCTTGTGGTCCCTCTATGCCACAGGCTCACTCACCTTCTTCTGCCTCCGTAGCCTCATCTGGGCTCTCTGGTGGTTCCTCTCCTGGGTGGCCACCTTAAAGCTCCCCGCCTGCCAGGTGTCAGTGATGGAGACAGTGAGGCTCTCCTCCCTTCCCCCAGTTACAGCCCAGCCACCCCGCCTTTGGATCCCCAGGGACTGGTGTGAATCACCTGGCAAGGTGCTCATACCACTGGCCCAGCACCACACTCCCTGTGTGTGTCACCCAGTCATGCAGCCGGGCCTCACTGTGACTGTTTCCTCTTCTGTAAAGAGTGATCAAAACCACAGCTACCTCACAAGGCCTCCTTAGTACTGTTCCCTGTAGCTATTGCCATTGTTCTCACCCTCATCCCTCTGAGGAAGAACCAGGCATGAGCACCCACAAATTATTTTCTTTTCTTGACCCTTATTTCCATTCTGTGAGGGCTACGCTACAGGCTCAGCATCCCTTCATTTTCCAGATGAGGAAACGGAGACCCAGAGTGGGCAGTGACTCCCCAGGGACCCGAAAGAGAAGGCGCCTCCTCCCCATCCTGGAGGCTCTGTCCCGCTGCCTTCTCCCAATATCCCAGCACCGCTACCCATCAGGGTCGTGTTCTCTGGAGTGTCTGAGTGTCTAGGTCTCCAGCCAGGCACAGTCATGATAGGAAAGGGACAGGGCAGTTTAGAAGACCTGGTTAAGTGGCACCTGCCTATCCGAGCCCCACTGGAGTCTCTGCCACACAAACTGGGTTTCAGCTATGCCAAAGATTTTGCCTCGCCAATGATCCCCCAGGGGAGTTCTGTGCACAGAACTCTCTTCCTCCACTCAGGAAGTGGCCTCCTGCGGTGCCATCTCAGACTGACATGGCAGGGATTTCCAGAATCTTGGGTGGGGTGACAAGTTGTCTTCTCATTTGCATGGAATATTCTGAGATCTGGTCAGGGAGGATCCCCTAGGAATGCATGATGAATCCCCCAGTCATGAGCTTGTGTCACTGATAACTGGTGAGAGTCCTGTGACATGACCGTTTTCGGGTATCTGCAAAGGGCAGAGCGGGGAGTCCCAGGAAACACGTATGTTTGTCCTGAGCATGCCCATTGGTACCCATAGCTGTGAGGTCCACTGGACTCCTTGGCACATGAGCTTCCTTTGTTTTCGTTCCCCCTCTCCCCCAGTGTGGGCAGAGGCCCCCTGCCCATGAAGGTGCGCTGCAGACAGAAGCAGCAGCAGAGGCCTGGCTTCCTCAGGAATTGCTGGCCAGTTTGTGGAAGGAAGAAAGTCCCACCTACCATAACCATCCCCCAGCCTGGAGGAAGCTCCATGCCAGCAGGATGGACCAGCATGGGAGCCAGAACCCTGCTAATGCTGCAACTCATCACCCCAGCTCAGCAGCCCAGCAGCCATTGCCACATCCCATTACCAGGGCCTCCTACCCCCGTGCCACCGCATGCCCATGGACCACACACCTCTCTCCCTGTTGGCCCTAGGTAGGCATGGAGGAAATTTTTCAAGTCTACTTTTAGTGGATGAGTCAAAAGAAAACAAAATAACCGCTCCACACCAGGTCCAATGCCCTCCAAACTCAGTCTTTCCTCTGACCCTTAAACACTTGTCCCGCATCTCCCAGACTCCACTGTACCTTGATCAGCAGGTCCCGCTTCACTGCAGTGTCTGTTTTGCAGAGTTGTTTTAGATATTTTGTGCTTTTGCTATGGACAAAGGAAAGAAAGAAGGGTAAATTTGTGAATAAGCGGAGAGATTTGTGAGTTCCCATCCAATCCCTTTTGTTTGAAAACCCAGAGAATCCCAACTTAGTGGGTGAGAGTTTCCAGTGGGGTCCTCTGTTGACAGGGGCTGCAGAAGACCAGGGTGGGACTTGTCATGCTCCTCCCCTGGCCCATCTCCACTTCACATGAGCCCCTGCGTGTTCGCAGTTAGCTTCCAGCTGGACACAGTTCCACTGCTGGGTGCAAACACCTGAAAGCCCCCAGTTGGCTCTAGTCTGTTCCTGTTGGTTAAAAATCCTTAGTCCTGAGTTGGAAATCCTTGCCTAGAAGTCCAAGGCAGCTTAGTGACCACACCTACCAGCCCATCCCTGCCTCCAGTGTCCCTGGTCTCCAAGAACCTTTCAGAGTCGGGGGCACGTGGGGAGTCCTATGGGTCCCTAGGTCAACCCTGGTGCTCCCATGGAGGGAAGCCTCCTCACCCGGCCACTGCTGCCCATGTCTTGTGTAGCCGATGTATTGGGTTGCTGCACAGAGCAGAGACAATGGCGTGCACCGCGGAGAAGTTGTTGAGGCGTAGGCACTCCTGGAGAGGGAAGAGCGAGCTGTTAGGTCCAGAGTTGCAGCCCGACCCACTTCAGCCTCAGCCCACTCTGCTGAGATCTCCCTTCCTGGACAAAGCAGAGGCCCAGGGAGCCTCAGGAGGGGACACCTGGGGCCGAGTGAATGTCAGTCATCTAGGAGGATTTTAGTTCTACCAAAGGAAGAGTGCAGGTCGGAAGTGAGCAGCCCCCACTGGGCCATGGGAGTCAAGGTCCGTGAAGCTCTGGTAAGAAGGGCCTAGGGGATGTGCAGGGCTCAGGCCAGAGATACAGATGCCAATCCTAAAGCTGATGGAGGAGAAGAGGCAGTTCCCCATTTTTAAAGAGGGAATCTTCAGGCCCAATTATAGCTTACTCTGGCCACTTTGATCCAGTGTTCCACCACCCTGGCCCTGTCCTGGGCCCTCATGCCATGGTTCCCGAGGCAGGAGGTGGTGACGCAGTTGGCGAGCCTGTTGAAGTGTGCGATGGTAGCACGAACTGTGGGTGCGATGTGCTCATTCCCCTTCTTAGCTCGTCGGCCCCAGATGGAGCCCAAACATTCGTAGAGCTCCACCTTCTTGAACAGCTCCTTTGGGGGTAGGAGGAGAGTGTCACAGAAAGAGCACACTCCAGCTCAGAGTCACCCACAGTCCCAGGCAGGGACTGAGCTCACAGTCATCCACGATCTCTCTCAGGAACTGAGCTGGAGGAGCTCAAAAAGCTTTAAAATGGGCCTCAGACATGTGGGAGTCCCTGGCTTTGATTTTCTGACCACCGAAGGCCCTGAATGCATCATGTCCCAGAACCCAACAAGAGTGGGAAGAGAGAGTGACATTTTCTCCCAGGCCATCTGCACTCCCAAGAACTAGAGGGTGGCTCAGGCCTGCCCGTCCTGAGGATTCGTCTTCCTCCCATACAATGATCCCTGTACTCCTTTTCTCCATACTGGTGCACTTTCCCTGTGGCAGCTGCAACTATGGGCTCTGTTTGGGTGTCTGCCATAGAATCTAGTATGCATCAGGTACCTAATAAGCGCTGAGGGTAGTGAGGCTCCTGAGCAGCTGGGTGAGTGACCCATGGCCCTGCCTGCCCCTCATTGAGCACCGCCCTGCCCTGCTTTCTGTCCATCCCCTGTCTTTCAATCTGTACAGTCACTCTGTGCAGCTGGCATGGGCGATGTCCCATCTCTGCTGTCCACATGCAGACAGAGAAGACTTGTGGATGAGGAAACTCATCCAGATCCCGTGGTTGGTAAGAAGTGGAGCTACAATTGGTCCCAGGGTATTGGCCACTTCTCAGGGAGAGGCTGGTCTGAGACAGCTGGTGCCAGAGGCACAGCCTGCAAAACCTAGCTGCTCACCGCATCCATTAGGGTCAGCTGCTCTGCCAGCAGCCTGGGAGGGAAGGTCGTGACATCAGGCAGCTCCTCAGTGGGTTGGTTCTTTACAGGAGAGGAACAGGGGGACTCTGGGGCTGACTGTGGCTCTAGCACTGTCACTGGAGCAGACCCTCTGGCTGGTGCTGGTGCTGGTGGTGAATGTAGATATCCTGGTGCATCCAGGGCCGCACATGACTCTGGCTCCAGAGCAGGCCCCAGGTCCGCCAGCAGTAGTGGTGCTGGCTCCAGGGCCGGCATTGTTAATGCCTGTGGCCCAGGATGTGGAGCAGGATCTGGAAAAGGAGAAAAGGTCACCCCACCAGTCACTTTTCACTGGGCTTTCCAAGCACAGAAGTGACTGAATGGAATTTAAGGGACTTGTAGCCCCAAAACACCACCCCTGGAAAGTCTTCCAGACTGCAGGCCGCCTCACCATCTGGCTTGGCCTCGTTGGGCTCCGGAGGCAGCAACTGGCCTAGGACAAGTTCCTGGTGGTCCTCCACGCCCAGTCCAGGCCTGGCGAAGTTCCTGAAGGCCAGCTTTATCCGGAAAGATGACCGTTGGCGGGGGCTGATAGCACAGTGAAGTATTTTCAAGGGGCCAGGTGAAGAAAACGCAGGTGATGGTTCTGGTGATGAAGTGGACAGCTGAGTCAGAGACCTGGCCTTCTCCCACACAACCCTCCAGGGCACCCTTGTGTGGTTCTGGGCCCCTGACCTGTTGCTGCCTGTGTAGAGGACAGCCCCACCCTACCCCCACGCCATCAGTGGTGACCTGGAAGGGGCAGACCTGGCCATGCAGCAGGACTGTACAGACCCTTCTGTGCTCCAGCGTCCTACAGACATTCTCTTCCCAAAGGCCCTGGAGCACCGCACTGCACCTGGGCACTCAAGATGGCAGCTCCAGGGAGATTTGTGAGCAGGTTGCTCATGACAGCTCCAGCTCTGGGTCCCCTGATCCTGGGGTTAGGAGGGTGGGGGCAGATGTAGAGTGGAGGAGGACAGGGAGAGCTGGGACGCCATGGTGCTGGGGATGAGTCTCTCAGTGGCCAGCTGTGACCCCGGCCTCAGCTCTCCTTTGCAGGGCACCTAAGTCTCCATTTACAGAACTCACTATTTGCCTCTTGTGGGGGAAGTCCCCAGATGTCAGCCTTCTCGTGGGAATTTTAAGAGGTATGTGCCCCAGGTCTCCTTGAGTCTCTCCCCAGCCAGAGTCCATTCTTTTCCCCCATGCTTTGTGGGTGAAAAGGCCCTTCAGAACCCTAAATCCACCCAGTGTATACTTGTTGCTGGGCTCCGTCATTCTAGTCAGAATCTGGGAGGATGCCACCATATGTAGAAGAGGCCATGAGGGTTTCCCCTCTAACATTCCGTAGATATGACCTGGTTATTCTGTCTCCTGTGAGCGCCTGAGTCTAAGTAGAATCAAGGCCCAGGGATTGTCATCTGCTTTGTTTATGAAATAATGCCAAGCCACAAGAAGAGCAGTGCACAAATGAGGTGTTTTGTATGTATGTGTTGAATGTGTGAACCCCAACCGTTGGAGAACCCCAGCGAGCATCTCCATTTGTCTGTGGGCCTGTGGCTCCCTTTTCAGCACCAAGGGACCCCTCTTCTGTCTGTGACAAGGAGAAAGACCAGCCAGAAGGAATCTCAGACATCCTTTACCAATGCCATGGTAGACTTGCTTTGCTATGTATTTTTCCAAACAGCGAAGGATATGAGCCATTGAGGCAGAATGCTGAGAGCTGCTTCAGTGAAGGGGAAAAGTAATAAACATGAATCACAGCACCCGCAGCAGATATTCCAGAGCTTTAGGCTCTAGGGACCCCTTTGTTTGCCATGTCTTAGATCATTCAGTCCCCACAAGAACCCTGTGAAGTTCATCTTCTGGCTACTCCCTGTTCCAGAGGAGCCAACCGAGGCTCCGAGAGCTGCATCTTCAAGACCCAGCCAGTAGGGGACAGAGGCACCTCCGTGCCTTGGAGGAGATGGACACTCACCTTCTAACCAGTAGTTCCAAAAAGTGTGGCACGGTGATAAAGTCCCAGGAGGGGCCCAGGCAGGTGGCATAGGAGGAGATGGGTTTAGTTAGCAAGGCTGGAACCAGGGAGTCCAACAGCTTCTCCCCTGTGCCGGGCTGGAAAGTTGGCATCCTGCAGATCTCATTTTCATACTGTGGGGACAAGGAGTGGCATGGGAGTCAGTGGTAACACCATGAACCACCAGAGGATCACGATCTGGAAGTCACACCAAGAAGCACCAGCCCTTCAGGGACTTGTGCATGTGGAGAACCTGATTGCCCATGGTGAAAAGGATTCTAGGCTTTCCAAGTAAAATTGTATGTGAGGATGGAGAAGTGATAAAATGATTCACGCCTTCAAGGCACCGTCACGGTGTTTCTCAGCTGTGGGGCAATGCCGCCCTCTGTATCAACAGCCTACATGAAGAGCATCATCCCTTCAATCCTCAAAAATCACCCTCATGGTAGAGAAGAGACATGGGCTTTTGGATGTCAAATGTCTGCTCAGCAGCACCCGGGTCAGAAGGGAGCACCTTCCATGGGGAGGACTGGATGAAATTCCCTCTAGGCCACCTGAGGCTCCACTTCTGATACGCAGGGGAAGGGCCTGGGGAGGCCTCATCCCCTCCTCATTTTAGCGACTGCACACCGGACAAGAGGGATATGATTGTTTTTGTTCCTTTAACATAAACGTGAGTCTGGAGAAACAGCTTTGGCCATCCCAGCCCCGGCCAAGTGGAAAATTCCGGAAGACTCCTGAGTAGGAGAAAATGCATCCCCAGGCCCAGGATTTGCCAGGCGACTCGGGGAAGAGAAAACTTAGGCAGTTACTGAAGCCGTGAAAGGTTAAGCAAATGTATGTTTGAAAGGGGAAATGAAACTAGGTGATTTTCTCTGCCATCCAGACAGCAGACTGGCAAAAAGTTGAAAGCATGTTAGTATTCAGGGGAGGCTGCATTCAGAGACGAAGCTACCTTCAGAGGCTGCTGGTGACTGTGTGACCAGCTGGAGCCCATTTGGAAAGTCAGCTGGCTAGAGCTGTTGAAACTCGCTATCTGCGTATCTTTTCACCCAGATATCCCTTTCCCGGGTGTGTGTCTTCCACAGGGAATTTGTGTATTTCATGGGTTGAATTGTGTTCCCTCCCCCAAATGTAACTGTTTCTATTCTCAACCCCAGAAAATGTGACTGGGTCTGGACACAGAGTACTCCAAGAGGTAATTGAGGTGAAGTGAGTTCATTAGACTGGCCCCTAATTTAATATGCCTGGGGTTCTTACAAGGAGAGATGGTGAGCGCACAGAGACGTTGAAGAGAAGACCCTGTGCTGACCGAGATAGAAGTCAGCCATCTCCACAGCAAGGAGAGAGGCCCAAAGAAACCACCCCAAGCTGACAACTTGACATTGGACTTCCAGTCTCCAGAATTGTGAGGAACCAGATTTCTGTGGTTAAGCCCTTCAGTGACGTGCCATGTTATGGCAGCCCTGGCAAACTGCTCCAGCCTATTAGGACACGCAGAGGACTATGCTCCCTGCAGAACAGGTGCCTAGAAAGGGAATTTTATCATGACAGGCTCCACCAGCACTCAGAGGCTGACCCCTGTGGAGCATGGCCTCCCTTAAGGACTATTACAGTGAGATGTGAGGGTGCAGCTCCTTCCTGATGGGGATGCAGGGATGAGTTCTGTGAGATGACACTTTAAAGAGAGATCCATAAAGAAGCTTCACCTTCTTTTGTTGTAATCAGTGTCCACCCCCACCTTATTTGTGTTAAAGTTTTGGATTTTAAGTCCTGCAGGAGGTCTCCCAGGGCAGGGCAGCAGAGATGCTTGTTGCCAGAGATACACTTACGGTGGGGAGTTAAAATGATAACAGTATGAGTATGTTGCTACAGTGTTATCACTGTACTCAATTCTTTGTGGCAACATGCTGAGATACTCCTGACATAGCATAAAGTGAAAACAAGGATGTTCCCTCATCTTCCTCTGATAGGTGAAAGGGACTTTGCCTGTAACCAGGTTGCCACTGGGGACTACTGGCAGCCAAATTCCTTTGGGAGAGGACAGTGGGTCACTCAAGTGGGAAATCCCTAGGACAGAGCTTAGGGAGTCCCCATATTCATGTCTGAGTCCTGGGCCCACCCTGGTTTTCTGGAGTCCCTGTCTGTGGAGACCCTTCTGTGCCCCGTCTCACCCCAGACCAGCACTGGCCATGGTTGGTGGCGGTGAGCCCCTTTCCTTTTCTGAAGAAGATGGAGAAATGGAATCCATCTAGCAGCTCCTGCTTGATCTGCTGTGTGGAGCTCTGCAAAGAGAGAGGGCCCGAGAGCGGGCCAAGAGGTGTCAGTGGCCTGCCTGGCTGACCCCACAGTGGCACACCCCCATTAGAACTCCTTCCTGGTGTCCCCATCCCCAACAGGATTTGGCACATAGGAGCATCTACATAGACCTCCAGCCAGAGAAGGTTGAGGTCTCCCAGAGATGAATTGAGATTCACATCTGAGCAGCAAACTGTGTCCTCGACACTGAAGTTTCCATCCTGCCAGGCATGGTCTGGACTGTGAACCTGACATACCTACCAGGCTCCAAACACCTGACAACCTACCTGCTCCTGTTCAGGGAGGGCCCCTCATCTCCTGTTTCCCCCGAACATATGGGGAGGGACTCGGTGCTGCCCTGATGGGCACAGCTGAGGCCTGGCCTGGACGGGCCTGCCCTGGGCCCTGTGTTACCTGAGGGTGCCTTCTGGCAAAGGGCCAGAGGCGTCGAGGGTGAGGGTTGAACCAATGTCTATATTCTCGAGAAAGACTCTCATTTTGGCCTCTTCTGCAACGAGGAGGTCGGCAGCACGTCGGGACACAGCAGGAGAACATGTTGTTCTCCGCAGTGTCGCCTACCAAATGAGCTGGAAATGGGGCTGTGTGTACAATATGGGTGCCTAGTTACCAGAATTCTAAGTTCTAGTTAGCAAGGAAGTGAGGTCACATCTTGTAGGTTCCATCCTGTAAGCACCTCCTTTCCATAAGACCTACTCAAAGGCCCCTCTGGGTTTCTGGCCGCTCACCCTCCCCCGTCAACTCCTTTACCTGTTCACCATTATGCCAAAGTGTGCCCCTTCAGCACCTTGGGAAGACCTGGATATAACCGGGGTCCCAGGTTTGAGGAGCCAGTGCTGGGTCAAACAGCCTTTATCTTAGCAGTTGTGAGACCCTAGAGAAATCCTGTGGTGTTTTGTGGCCTCCCCAGCATGCACAATGGGGGTTATGCTACCATCTCCTTCCTAGGGAACTCCTGAGGTGTGTTTGAGATAAATCTTAAAAACCTCATGGTGTGGTGGTCCCAGCAGATATTGCACATCCTTCGAGATGGAAGAACTACAAGACGGGGTGAGAGGTAGCATGGAATACAACTCCAGTGGGCCTGGGTTCCACAGTATGATCTCAGGAAAAGGCACTTTTGCTCTGGGCCTCGTCTTTCATGCTGCAGTACTATACGAGGTTGGGATTAAATGAATTCAGACATCCTCCTGCTCTGACATTGCACCTTCCAGTAGCTTCTCATTTTATTTAGACCCAGACCCTATGCCTCATCTCAGCCTAGGGTGGGCAGCATCCACAAAGACAGCACTGAGGGCTTAGTGACTCCCTTCTGAATGATGGAATAGGACACAGATGGTGGAATAGCACTCCTGGGCCAGTTCAGGCTATTTCAGCAAAGAACCGTATCCTGAGGAGCTCATCAAGAAGAGAATTGTGTTTCTCCCAGTTCTGGAGGCTGGAAGTTGGAGATCAGGGTTCCAGCCTGGTCGGGTCTTAGTGTGGACACTTCTTCCCCATTCACTGAGCTTTTACAGTGCTGTCCTTTCCTTGGAGGATGGCTCAACTTCAGGAGCATGGGTGGACCTCCGTTCAAAGCCCCGCTCCCACTTGTAGCTTTGTGATCGTGAGGAAGTCGTAGAACTGCTGTGCCTGTTTTCTCCTCTGAGAAATGGCGTTAGTGAGAATTGCTTCCCTTTCTAATCACACAGAATAAAGCATGGAAAGAAGTTAACTCGGTGCCATTGGGCAGAGAGTGAGAGGCCAGCAAACCAGAGAGATCAGCTTGCCCACATCAGTGGTGAGGAGTGCGGAGAGTGGGTGAGGCTGGGGCAGGAAGCAGGCCAGCCTGCCAGAGCCCAGGAACAGGTGAAGAGCAAGAGTGAGCTCCTCACCCTGAATTCTCGGGGGACACAGGCATGCAGGGGTTGTGGGGAGCACAATCATCAGGGCTGCCCTCGTTCCCCTGGTTCCCTCCGTATCCGACGTGGTCCCAGGGCCCCTTCTCTCTGTGTTTCCTCTCTACCCTGCTTTCTTCCTGGCAGCCCTCCTTGGACTCATTTTTGGCCCTGGTCAGGTAGAGTCTTGAGGTAACTATAGGCCTGTTAATAACTCCTCTGAGGTTCAACCCACCATTTATTGAGCCCTCTGAGCTTAGTCATAAACCACCTCCTGCTGGGACCTGAGAGGGGGCTGGAGGGAGCTGAGAGTGCGGTGGCAGTTTTCCCTGCAGTTGCCACTACAGGGCCCACTGGCAGGTATCTGCTGAACTCGAGCTTTGTTTTGAGTCTCTGGGGTTCTGAGGTGTGATTTTCCCTCTGAAGATCGACTGAGCCCGCAGTGGGTGTCTTAGCCTCAGAAATGGGTCCCCCTGGCTGGGAACTGTGCTCTACCCTCACTTTCCTAGAACACCTCACACCTCGCCCTGCCCATTCCGACTTCCGAAGCCCACATAGAGGCTCTGTAGAAATTGCTAAATACAAAAGGGCTACAAATAAGTCATAGGAAATGTTTTTATATAAGGCGGTGGCTTTCAACCATTACTATACATTTACTTCAGCAAAGGCGAAATTTAAAAATGTTAATACTCTGAGTCACCCCACAGAGATTTGGATTTATTTGATGGGGCAGGAGACACAGGTATCTTTGGTTTGGTTTTGTTTTTTCTTTTTTGAAACGGGACCATGCGGTGTTTCTCAGGCTGTAGCGCAGTGGCACCATCTTGAGCACTGCAGCTTTGATCTGCCAGGCTGAAGGAATCCTCCCTTCTCAGCCTCTCACGAAGCTGGGACTATGGGCATGCACCACCATGCCATACTACTTTTTGTGTATTTTGTAGAGGTGGGATCTCACTGTTCCACCCAGGCTGGTCTTGAAAGTCCTACCCACAAGCTGTCGTCCTGCCTCAGCCTCCCACAGTGCTGAATTTACAATTGTGAGCCACTGTGTCTGGCCCTGTTTCTTGTAAGAGTTCCCTTAGTGTTTCTAATGGGCATTCAAGCAAAGAAGATTTTGCTTGCAGAAGGCTCGTGGAACACTACTGAGGCTGCATCTTCTTCACAGCCAACAGATTGTTCCCTGAAGTGTCTGCTTAGCAGTGCACAGGCTATTTATATCCTGGACTTTATGGAGATGTTGGGTTTGGGGGCTGACTGGGGCATGAGTATTGTCTCTGGGATCTGTCACAGCCTGGTCCTATGGGACACCCAGTCTAGGATCCTCCTTCCCAGACCACCATCCTGCCTCTCACTACTCCTATGGCAGGAGAACAAAGGTCATGACCCCATGATCAGAGACATCCACAACAGGAATGAAGTTGAATGAGTCATGTGAGGAGGGGCGGGGCACAGCTGCTTGCTGGAAGGGTGTTGGGAAGTATTGGTCCATCAGCTGTCACATCCTCCTGTTGCTGTTGAATCCCAGCGATCCTCACTTGGAGTCTGGGTCTCAGAAGGGTGTGGCACCTGGGTTCTTGGCTGGCTGAGCTGGTGCTTTTGCAGTCCACTTTGGAGCTTTGGTATGTGAAGCCTGACCTGAGTTGCTTCAGGAAACCTTTGTCCCTCAGGCTGCCTCCTGCTTAAGAGCAGAGCCTTTGTGTGGAGATCTGGCTGGCCTCCCTAGCTCCCAGCCTGTCCTGTCCTGTTATGTCTGGGTTTGAGGTTGTGTGGAGGGGTCTCTTGCCATAGAGGAGGCAGTAGTAGTCGTGTGGATCAGAGTGAAGAATGGCGATCCCTGCTGGCTGTGCCCGGCCTTTGACTGGAGGAGTCTGAGAATGACCAGGCCTGGGGAGCTGTCATTCCTCAGAAACAGCATGTTTCCTCCCCTATTGTGGAGTCTCTGGATGTGACCCAGAGTGTGCTGGGCCTCTTTCGCTTGTGCTGGGTTTAGCTGTGTGTTTCAGGGTGGGAGGTGCAGGGGATTATCTGCTCTGAGCCAGATAAGGCCTGGCGAGGATTGGGGGGCGGCCCTCGAAGAAGCCAGATCTGGTGGGAGAGTAGGCATGGATAGGGAGGGAACAGGGTCACCAGGGTTGTGTGTCACCTGTTCTTGCTCCTTGGTCTGCCCGATAAGTGAGAATAGAGGTGGAGGCCGCTGTGGACCCTCTTTGGCTTCCTGCAAGCAGGTGTTCTTTTGGGGAGCAAGGCAGGTGGGGGACAAAGCTGGTCGCTGAGGTGTTGAGTGGTTCTTTGTATGTCATTGTCTTTTTCCTCTCTGCCATCCCCAACAGCTCTACTGTAGCAGCCCATTGACCAAGGAAGTCACTCAGAGCATGGGTGTTATGGCCCCTTAAAGGGCCAGAGAGGGCTTAGGAGTTTCTCAGAAGACTGAGCCCAGGGTTGGAGGGTGCCAGAGTCACTGAGAACAGCCCATTTGGTAAGTTGGGCAGAGGGATCCTCGGCCCTGAGTATGCCTGCCTGACCGGTGGTGACCATGCCAACAGGGTCAGGGCCTCAATAGAGCTTAGCTACTGAGCTCGACATTTGGCCAGTTGGTCTCTTGGTGCAGGCAGGAACGGTCTGCTTCCCCAAACCCTGTGTTTTGGTCTCCATTTTCCTTGGAGCAGCTGCAGGGTAGGTAGAGGGGTGTGTCTGCTAGCTGCGTGGTGAGGTGAGCGTCCACCCAGCTGCCTCTGCCGGGGAAAAAGAGTAATGACTGCAGCAGGGAGACAAGCGAGCCGGGGCCCTTTTAGAGTCAACCCTGCTGCTCCAATTCTAATTTTCAGTTCAGATTTTGCAGGCCTGAGTGTGGGTCCCTGAGTAACTGCCCTTTGAATTCTTTTGGCGAAGACTTAGCATTCCCCAGGAGCTTCTCACTGAGCCCCAAACACACAGCCCCCAATTCACCACCTCATTCCTTACCAGGACCTGCTGAAGCATACACCTGTGGACCACCCAGACTGCCTGCCAGTACAGGATGCCCTCCGCATCTCCCAGGACTTCTTTCCGGCGTTAGTGCGGACATTGACCCCGCTAGACTGCAGTCACAATGGACTCCCAATGGGGAGGTGAGCTCAGGGCCCAGCAAGGCCTTGCGCACAGGTTAAGGAGCCCAGGGTGGACCAGATCCCCAGTCTCTTCTCTGATGGCACAGGCATCGCTCTGTGCCCCTTGTTTCTGCAACCCTGATGCCCCATTCCCAGCCAAGGAGAGGTCTTCAGTCCCGGGTCACGCTGATTTGATTCCGCGTGGCATTCTGGGCCCTAGGCTGAGAGCTTTAAGCCCAGTGTCTCAGTCATCCTCCAAAGAATCCAGTGAGCCAGAAGAGGACACAGGCCCAGAGCGTCTCTCCAGGTCCACCACACAGTCCTTGAGCTGTGTCAGAGCTGGATTTTTTATCTGGGGCTGGCTGTTTGGAGGCCCCAGGCATTGTCCCCCACACCAGGGAATTCGGCCTGTGGCTACCTCATTCTTGAATGCAGACACCTGCCTGTGCCGTCAGGGTGACCCGGGAAGCTGAGGGAGCAGGACGTGTCAGCCACTTTAGATTGGCCTGCACGAGCAAGAGCCAGAAAGGGAGCCCCACAGAGGGAAAACCTGGTAGTAGAGGTGGCTGAGGCCATTCAGGTTGCTGGAACATTCCACGTGGGCTCCTGGATGTCAGACAGCAGTTTCCC